AAAAAAAAAAACCTTTTCTTAAAAAGCATAAACAGTCAAACACTCCTGTACCCAGCATCTACTTTTCGTATGTATTGAATCCCTCCCCTCCTCCTCAGAAAAAAAAAGAAAACAGAATTGCTGTGGTCTGACGCTGAAACCAAAACAAAAAAAAAAAAGAATCTCTTTTCTGCAACCCATTAAAAAGTTTAAATGACTCAATAAACAAAAAAAAAAAGGCAGGAGGTCATGGTGAGCTGTCAACTGTACAACAACTCTTCTGAATGATCCCAAACACCAAACATCATTTAACAAAATATTTCATTTGAAATTGTTCTATCAATACCTTAAAAAACCTCACAACTTCTCGTACACATTACCAACCTTATCAAATTCTTTTTTATAAACAAACTTCAACTTCGACCCAACATTCATCTGCCACAGTCCTTTCATCTTTGATAAGTCGCAAGCAACAACGCAAGAAACTTCTGCTCTTTAAAACACACAAGATTACTGATCTATCCTATATACAGTTCAGCTATAACTTCCACCCAAATGATTGTGCAGCTTAGATTAGCTGACTAACAAGTCCCAATTTATTCCAACTAATTAAGCGATCGCAGAATCAAAATTTACCTGAAATTCCACAATTTTAAAAACCCAAAGTTTCCAGTACAAAATCATTTTTATTTAACATTTTTCTGCCACAATCCTTCAATATTCAAAAATAAAATGGACTAAATAACAACGTAACAAACGGTAAGACTCTTAAAAATCGATCATATTTTATTCTTCACGAGTTTCTGCACCGCATACAAGATTAAGTAATGATTGAAAAAAGGAGAGAAAGAACAGTGGTTAGTAGACAAATACATTACCCTTATATGGTACAAAAGTTTACAGTTGTAAAAATCGGTAATTTACTGAAACGATCACTTGTTTCAGCTTGCCCATAAAAGTTTTCTAAATAGAACACGTAAATCAGTTGTTAAATACTATCTAGACAGAAGTAACTATAAAACCGGACTTTGAAAAAAAATTTGAAAACGCTCGTCAGAATAATTCATTATCACTCTGAGAACTAACCAAACATCGTTAAATTCCAATAAAAGCAAGGCCAAAAAACACTTTTTTGACTGAAAT